TCCTCCAGTGTCACTTGTTCCTGACCACCCTCCTCTAAAAGAACCCTTCCCGGCCCCCTGCTCTGGTCCGTTCACTAGCTGTATGTTCCCCATTCCCATCTCAGCTCCATGAGGGCAGGCGCTCGGTCAGCCCTCTCTGCAGCCAGAACGCGCCTGGCGCAAACTGGGTATGTAGTCAACTTTCTGCGGAATGAAGAAAGCACTTAATGTCCCTCCTGAGGCACATGGACAGAGATTAGTAAGTGGGTGACCTGCTTGCCAGAAGCCAGGACAGTGACTTATTTACCCAGGAGCCCCAGTTCCCACCTGGGCACGCGGTGGGTGGCAAAAGTGTTTGCGGCCGTTGCTTCAGCTCGTCATTCAGGCGGTTCTTGGCTGTAGGTCTGTGTGGGGAAAGCAGCGTTGCTTAATCAAGCCAGTGATAAGGTGTCAAAAGCCAGCAGAGTGGGGGCCCCGGGTGTGGCTCTGTCTGCAGGGAGGTGGGACTGGGGGTGTCCTGCCGTGGGTGATCAGGAGTTGGAATTGGGGACAGAAGACAGGCCAGCTTCCTCACTCCCTTCACTTGTCAGCTCTGACCAACACCCCCCCTTTGCCCCACCCCCACCCCCCGCGGCTGTTGGCCTTGGCCATGAGGCTGCCTTGGCCACAAGTTCACTGCAGATTTGGCAGAACGCCGCAGCCACCATGCTGTGCAGCCCCGTGTGTCTGCTTTTGTAGGGAGGCTGTTTTGCCTGGGGTCCTGGGCATCTAAGGGGCAGGAAGTGGCAAGGGAAGCAATTCTGGGGCTTTCCAGAAACCGGGGAGTTATGGGAAGCCTAAGTGAATGGCGTCTGGCTGGGACAGGGCAAGATGGGGCTAGGGCAGCTTTATGTTCTCACCATCACATCTGGCTCCTGGATCTGCCGTGCTCCCTCTCACCCCTGGCCCTTTGCATGGCTCTCCCCTCTCCCTGAAATAGCCTTCCTGTTCCTCTTCAACCAGTTGGGCCTGGCTGGTTCCCTTTAGCCTCAGCCCAGAGGTCCCTCCCTTCAGGACTGATCTGAGCTAGCTGGACGTCTGAACCTGGAACTTCTCCCTGGGGGCCTCCTTCTTCCCCTCCTGCCCCAACCACCACCCTCAGGGCAGACAGGACAGCCTGCTGCCCAGGCCTGAGCCACTGTTTCCCCACAGAGATGCGCTCGCAGCTGAGCGAGCAATTGCGCTGCCTGGAGCTGCAAGGGGAGCTGCGGCGGGAGCTGCTGCAGGAGCTGTCGGAGTTCATGCGGCGCAGGGCCGAGGTGGAGCTAGAGTACTCCCGGGGCCTGGACAAGCTGGCCGAGCGCTTCTCCAGCCGAGGAGGCCGCCTGGGGGGCAGCAGCCGCGAGTATCAAAGCTTCCGGTAGGTCCCGGTTGGCAGGATGGCCGTGCCCGGGCTCAAGCCCTGCTCCCAGTCTGAGTGCCCCTCTGTCCCCAGGAAGGAACCGACCCTCCTCTCATCCTTGCACTGCTGGGCCGTGTTGCTGCAGCAGACTCGGCAGCAGAGCCGGGACAGCGCTGCCCTCAGCGAGGTGCTGGCCGGGCCACTGGTCCAGCGTTTGAGTCACATTGCGGAGGATGTGGGGCGCATAGTCAAGAAGGTAAGGCCCATGCCCTGGCTGGTTTTGCTCAGTGGATAGAGCATCTGCCTTCGGACGAAGGGTTCAAGGGCACATGCCCAGGTTGTGGGTTCGGTCCCCAGTGGGGGGTGTGCAGGAGGCAGCCAATCTATGATTCTATCTCATCATTGATGTTTCTCTCTCTCCCTCTCCTTTCCTCTCTGAAATCAATAAAAATATAAAAATAATTTTTTTTAGAAAAGAAAGAAGGTAAGGCCCTGCCTGGCCGGTGTGGCTCAATGGTTGAATGTCGACCTATGAACCAGGAGGTCACGGTTTGATTCCCTGTCAGGGCACGTGCCTGGGTTGGAGGCTCGATCCCAGTGTGGGGCGTGCAGGAGGCAGCTGATCGGTGTTTCTCTCTCATCGATGTTTCTAACTCTCTATCTCTCTCTCCCTTCCTCTCTGTAAAAAATCAATAAAATATATTTTTTAAAAAAATTAAAAAAAAAAGAAGGTAAGGCCCTGACCCTGGGTCTAGGAGGTGTGAATGGCCTCAGGATCTATCAAGGGCAGCCTGTGGGTACGCAATACAGAGGCATCAGGGCTGGGAGGGTTAAGGGACCAAATGGGTGTCAGGATAGGGGGAGCCTTGAGTGCCCAGCTGAGGTGCGGTGACCATCCCAGGACAGCGGTGGGTGCCGCACTGGGCAGTGATTCTGTCGCTTTTCCCCTCCTCCCCAGAGTAAGGATCTGGAGCAGCAGCTGCAGGAAGAGCTCCTGGAGGTGGTGTCTGAGCTTCAGACGGTGAGGATGCCAATCAGAGGGAGGCTCTCATATTACATCCCCACCCCCACCCCCACCCCCGCCAGGCCCAAGGAGGCGGATCGGGTGTCCAGGAGAGCCCTACGTTTCAAGGACTGCAAACATGGCCCTTTCTCCCCACTCTGGGCACAGGCTGGGTGGGCTAGGAGCTCATATGGGATTGCCTTACTCTCAGGTCTGAGTCACTGAGTGTTTGGGAGGAGGACGGGGAGGGCTGGCTGTGGCCTTGGCCTTCAGCAGGGCTGCCTGGCCTTGGGCCCCCGTACAGGCCAAGAAGACATACCAGGTGTATCA